AATGTATGAGAGTTGGATTATAATTTCAAATTGTGGTGCTAGAGAAGACTTTTGAGAGTTCCTTGGACCTCAAGGAGATCAAAACATTCAGTGCTTAAATAAATTAATTCAGGCTGTTTACCTGAAGGTCAAATACTGAAGCTGAAGCTTAAATACTTGGACCACATAATGAGAAGATGAGGACTCATGGGAGAGATTGAAGGGAAAATGAAAAAGGGATGGCAGAGGGTTAGATGGGTAGATAATGTCATGAATAACAATGAATGTTAACTTAGACTTCGAGACATAGTGGAGGATAGAATGTTCAGCAGCAACAAGAGACAGTTTGAGGCTGTTTCTAATTGAGTTTGACACCATTGGTTCTGTATGCCCCACTTTGTCATTACCAAGGTTAAATAAACAAACATTAATACTTTACGTTGTTTCTTCATTATATGATTACTCTTCATAATTAGTCAACATCTTTGTGAGTAGAACTTAACATTTAAGATAGTATGATGGTTGCAAAGATGTTAATTGCTCTATGATGTTTCTTCTTATATGAGTTGTTCTCCAAAGCATATTCTGTGTGCTCATTCTTAATTTTCTGCATTATCTGAAGACATTATTGGAAAATGACTTATGGAAGACTATTATCTATACTTTTTTTTAAACCTCCCACATTTGAAAGGTTGTGTTCTAATTGACTTCTCCCCACACAGTATTTTCATTTCAGTATACTCTAGGAGAGGAGGTGTTCTACATTACTGAATTGTAAAATTAGCAGTGACTTTCTGGAGTGGTTTAGATGAAGCTCTGGATTGTTTTGCTGTAGAAATTTCAAAAGAATTGAGCAAGTCAGATGTCTCTGGTTAGTAGGTTGAAATAAGATTCTGAATTCACTCTATTCTGTCTAATGAAATGCTTAGAATTAACTACTTTAAGGAGCCAGTTCTTATTTTGTAAGGAGAAATAAAAATTTGGCAAAGTAAAAATATCAATGCAAGAACTGCTGGCATGACATTAATTTTTATTAATTATGTCATACCTTGAATACTAAGAATTGGGAGTTTTATTCTATTTTAGAGTCAGTTATTTACTGATTACAATTATATTCATGAAACCTAATAAAAATCTTTTAAATCTATAGAACACATCAACTCAATCAAGAATGTGTTGTACAAACTCAGTATGCTATACTGAACCTTAAGACCTATCAGATGTTTTAGGCTACAAAAGCTTATAGCAACTAAAACTTTTGGGACACCTTGACGCAATATATAGCTTTTATATGCCTAAGACACTTGTGGCATTGGAATTCCAAGATAACTTTAATTTTTTTTAAATAATTTAAAACCTGGTATTTTTATGTATACTGAAAAAACTTCCTCAAATTCCATTTTTCCTGTCTTCCCAATTTGGGGATGGGGGGGAATAAACTATTTGTTCTGTTGAGCAAAGTGAATCAGCATTACTTTAGATTTTCAGTTCTTAAGGGGGAAAGATCTTTTTAAAAATACATCCCTTTGTAAGTTCAGTAATGGCATTTAATTTTGGACTTCATTGCTTAATACTGCTACATTTATAATGTCCGATTTGCCATGTGGATTTTGACTGTTTTGAGGGAGGGGGTAGATACATAGGTTTGTTGTTGTTGTTTTAATTCTGAAGGAAATACAAGGCTTTAAAAAAAATTGACCTTATGGTGATAATTTAGAAATTTAAAGTAGTATTTGACCAACTTTGAGTTAAGAAAAGTGAAGTTGTATCTGTTAGACCCAACAGTTGACTGTATGTCTTGATCAGTTGCACTTGGAAATAAATATTTTACTATTCTGTTTTGACCCAGTAAGTAATACTGGATCTTGCCAGATGCTTAAATATTCAGATATTTGTTTTTTTAAAGGTTTTTCACCTGTCTGCTTTGTTTTCCTTCTGATATTGTAATGGAAACCAGCAGTCTTAGAGATCTGACAACAAAGAAAATACAACAGGTAGTGGGTGGGAGTGATGCAGAATTATACTTACACCACCTTAGGAAATTTGTTCATGGACTAGGAACCATGGATGTGAAGAGAAAGAGAGGGATGTGGGCTCAAACTGAAGCAGGGAAATCCTTACCTTTTTTTGCCAATACACAGTGCCCCACTACCTTCACTTTTACCATAAACGGAAGAGTAGAAGAAGCAGTAGCTAGTGCCTTGTTTGTCTTTACACAGTTTGTTGCTCCAAAAAGCCCAAGTCATTTGTTTTATGTCTGTCTAGATGAATTCTGGATATATAACATCTCTACCCTGGATAATAAGGTTACATGATTTATTTAGAACTTAATACATACTCAGAGAAACAGGCCTTTGTGGATGAATTTGGGTCTCTGTAAATGGTCATATCTATTTTCTTGGCCTTGTAGGTAGGCTTGATCCAATTCTTTACCGGTAGGTTTAGTACCCTTTAAGTAAAAGATAGAAATTGTCCTTGGTAACTTTTATAAAGTTAGGAAATAGCTCCTCATAAATTAAATCCTTCTTTCTACATTTTAGATTTATTTCCTTTTGTTATGATTTCAGAAATGGCGTATGGCCAGTTATTCTCTTTTTTCACTTATTCTATATTTAAATTTAAACTTTAAGCTATTTCTTAGACTGGTATTGTGGCTCTCAAAATTTATTTGACTGATCTTTCACATTTTGGCCTTAAGTGCACTGTGTGCTTCCCACAGATATATGACTGAGACTACATTTGCCATGATTTAATCCATGTTAAAAAAAAATCAAATGTATGATTTCATCAGTGTCTTAAGGAACAATTTATAGTTTCAGTTATCTGGGTTACTGTGAGGTTAAGTGACTTGCTGGTCATCACGTAGTCAGTATGTATCAAGGGCTTTACTTGAACCAAGATCTGTACTCTGAGACCTTGTTTCTATCTACTGTACCGCATTGTCTCATCATCATCATCATATATTATAATATATAAATAACATATATAAATAACTACTAAATCTCAAAACTCTTTTAGCCTCCTAATTTCTATTATAAAGCTGTGTGGTGGAAAGAACATTCAATTTGACACAAATATGGGTTGATATTCTGGCTGTTACTTACTACTTGCATGATCTTGGGCATATCACTTAACCTTTCTTGGCCTCAGTTTCGTCATCTGTTAAAAGACATTGTGCCACATCTGGTAAAAAGAAATTTAATGGAGATAAATGTTAGTTCAGATTGGATTTTTTAAAAATCAGCTTCACAAGTTCAGGATTAAGGAGGTTTTGCCAGATCATTTATGTAAAGAGGTACAGGGGGGAACTGAAAGCTCAATGTGAGTCACTAGTGTGACTCAACAGCCAAAAAGGCTAATATCATCTTAAGGTGCCTGAAGAGAGTAATGGTGTCAAAGAGAGTTCAAGAAAATGGGAAGTTATTATAGCATTCTGCCCTGGTAGATCATGTCTAGAGTACAGTCTTCAGTCCTTGGAAACCTATATTCTGTTTATTCCTTCAAGTTCAATGACTTAGGAAACAAATATGATAGCTATATTAATTTATTTGAAAAGCTATCATGTAGAAGATTCATTTTTTACTGGTTAGTCCTACAGGACTAGAAGCAATAGGTGGAAGTTGCAGGGATGCTAGTTTCAGCTTAATCTAACGAAAAACTAATTTGGAACTATTTAAAAGTAGAAATGGACTGCAGATTTCCCTTTGAAGTAAAAAAGTGGATGACCACTTATTTTGCTACAAGTTTGTGTTAGACTGGATGATATCTGAGATTCTGTGTAATTCCCTGAGGTAATTAAAATAGATCATGGGTTATTAACCTTTTTTTGTGTTTTAGACCCCATTGGCAGGCTTCTGAAGCCTATGGCCCCCTTCTCAGAGCAATATTTTTTAAGAGCATTTTTAAAAATTTCTTTTGATTTATCAACAATCACTTCCATATGCTTTTGAGTTTAAAATTTTTCTCCCCCTTCATCCCCACTGCCCTCCCCAAGATGGTGCATGATCTGATATAGGCTAAACATACACATTCCTATTAAACATATTTTCGCATTAGTGTTGTTGTAAGTAAGAATTAGAACCAATAGGAGGAAGCATCAGAAAGAGGAAACAAAACTCAAAATGAGAGAAAAAAAATAGCAAATAGTATGCTTCTATCTGCATTCAAATTCCATAGTTCTTTCTTTGGATGTGAATAGCATTTTCTATCACGAGGCCTTTGGAGATGTCTTAGATCCTTGTCTTGCTGGGGAGGGTTCAGTTTATCAATATAAGTCATCGCACAGTGTGGCTGTTATTGTGTACATTGTTCTCTTGGTTCTGCTCACTTCACTCAACATCAGACCATACAAGTCTTTCCAGGTTTTTCTGAAGTCTGCCTATTCATCATTTCTTATGACATGATAGTATTCCATTACATTCATATACCACAACTTGTTCAGCCATTCTCCAATTGATGCGCATCCTCTCAATTTCCAATTCTTTGCCACCACAAAAAGAGTTGCTATAAATATATTTGTACATGTGGGTCCTTTTCCCATTTGTATGATCTCTTTGGGATATAGCCCTAGAAATGCTATTGCTGGGTCAAAGGGTATGCACATTTTTATAGCCCTTTGGGCATAGTCAGAACAATATTTTTAAGTGCATAAAATACATAGAATTGCAAAGGAAAAGAGTTATATTAAAATACAATTATTAAAATATAATTAATTATTAAAACCTGTTCACAGACCTCACAAAGAACCTCTGATCTAGTTGATTTCTGCATCGTTTTAGCTGCCTTTCCTGCAGCTTAGCAATAAGAGAGGTGGCTGTTAAAATTGGGGACTAAGCAGGATCTAGGGGTGAGATATGCATTCTAGATCTCTCCTTTCTCATTTGAATATCTTGTTTATATGCTACATGAAACTAATTAGAAAATAACTTTTTTTTTTTACCTAAAAAGAATTTCTTGAGAAAATGTCACTCTTTTTCATATATTAAAATCTAATGACATTTTGGATCACTTCCCCATTGTAGGTGGTTGAAGATTATGCTGGAAGATGGCAGGTTCCTTTGCCACAGCTTCAAGTTCTTCAGACAGCACTTTGTTGTTTTACAACGGCCAGTGTATCATTCCCAACTGAATGTGAGCACGTACAATATGTTTTGAGTAGCCTAGCTTTGTAAGTATTATTTTCTTTCATTATTAAAATATTGCTTTTGTCGTATTATCCATATATTGGTTTTTAGTTTTTTCCTTTCCTAAGGAAGAAATCTCTCCCCCCAATCTACCAAAAATATAAAGGCAATTTTTAAAATTTTTTTATGAATTCTTATGTCAAGTGTTTGTTATAATTTTGCCTCCAGTTCTAGTATTACATTGGCGTTATAAGATACATACAAATGAGGTAATAATTGTATAGTGCCTGGCATTGTAAGCACTTGATAATGTTAGCTATTATTATTTTTCCATGTTTCTATTATAGCGCAACTAAAATTAGATTTCCAGGGGTTTAGTAGATAGAGCACTGAATTTTGTGTTGGAATTATGCCTTAGTTATTTACTAGCCATGTGACTGAGCAATAACTATGTTTCTTAAGTTTCTTCATCTCTAAAATGGGGATGAACTAATGAGATAACACATGTAAAGCATTTTGAAAACCTTAAAGCACTATATAAGTGCTAGTTATTGTTATTTTAATTGTTATTTTTCCTCCAATTAAAGAAATTACTGGAATTAAATAATCCACGGTATCATAGTTATTAAAATAATCTTTAAAGGAACATAGTACTGGGTCAGAAGGTGGTCAATAAAATCCCAGGTTAAAGAATTCTTATAATGATGTGAGTATATAAAAGCATATGTACATATATTTGTGTGTATGTATTTATAAATATATTAAAGTGCATGTATATATGATAATTGTAATGCTATGTAATTTGGGTTTTTTCTTAAAAGAGAATTTTTTAAATACCATGAACCAATTTAACACTGAGCTTGGAATGGAGTACAAATCATGGTATGTGCTGAAATAACTATTTTTAACAAGTTGGAGGAGTAGCTAGGTGGCATGGCGAATAGAGTGTTGGAGTCAGGAGGACCTGAGTTCAAATCCAGCCTCAGACACTTACTAACTTTGTGATCCTGGGCAAGTCACTTAACCCTGTTTGCCTCAGTTTCCTCACCTGTAAAATGTTCTAGAAAAGGAAAACCCCAAAAGGGGCCACAAAGAATCAGACACTGCTGAAATGACTAAACAGTAACAAATCATACTAGTTAACAAATTGAGAAAATGGAGAATTAGTACTATTAACTTATTTTGAAATTATATTTTTATGATGCAGCAACCTACTTTATGTAGTGCCTAGGAATGAATATTTCTAAATGTTTATAGTTTATAGACTACTAAAACACTGTCAAATTATTCACTGAATTTTTTCAAAAAAGAAAGTAGTTTTTTTTTGTTGTTTTTTAGATGACTTATAAGTAATAAATAATAGTCTTGGTTGAACCCTTTAGTTTGGGCTTAACCTATGAAGTTTTGTGTATTTTTATTCTTTGTCTGCCTTTTATAAACCATATCCTAACACATGCCACCCCTAATAGGAAACCTTCCCTAATTTCTTCTTCCTTTCCATTTCCAAGTCAGTTATAACTGATCTCACATAGCACTATATTTTCTACTCATTTGTACACATATATTATTTTATATTATAATTATTTATGTTGTATCTGGACTTGGAATCAGAGATCCTGACCTTGAATTGTGGCTACACTACATACTGTCTACCTTGGAAAAGTTGCTTCACCTCTGAGTAAGGACTAGGTCCTTTCACACTCTGTGTAATATCTCCTATTATCTTATCAAACTTGTAAGCTCCATGAGAGCCAGAACTGTATCAGCCAGTCAAGCAATATACATTTATTTAAACCTAGTATGTGCAAGGACATTGAGGATACCAAGAAAGGAAAAAGATAGCACTGGCTGAGGGTGGAGGAATAATATACAATCAGTTGTTCAAATAAGGTGTAAGAAAACAAGGATAAATTGTTTCAAGGACCACGGCATAGAATTGATAAATTTAATAAGGTTTATTGCATGTAGAATTATTTTATCAAATCTTCAAATTATAGATTCAGAAGGGAGCACAGAGATTGCAGCTACTTGGCTAAATAAAAAATCTCATTTTATAACATCCTTAAGAAATGGTCATCTCATTTCTACATTACTTCTGACTAGGAACTCACTATTCTTTGAGGTGGTTCATTCCATTTTTGCATAGCTTTAATGATTATGCAGTTTTTTGGTTTTTGTTTGGCCAAAATCTGCTCTGTAGCTTCTTCACATTGGTTTTTCTTCTGTTCCCAGAGGCCAAGCAGAGAAGGTCTTATAAAAACCCAACAGTCCTTCAAGTTTTGAAGGTAGCAATTATTTCTGCCTTCTTCAATATTCTGTCTACTCCTTCCAGCCAATAAAGAAATGTATTGACTTGTTTTCTCCCTGATAAATGTCTCTAATGCCTTCAACAGGTTCCTGTTTAGTATGATATGGAACCCTGTCTGCCTGACTTTCATTTTATCAGTGGCTTTTATCAGTTGATCACTTGATCAACCAGTTAATTAACAAACAAGCATTTGTTAAGCACCTACTATGTGCTAGGTGCTAAGTGATACAAAGAATGAGATAGGCTCTTCTCTTCGAAATTTGAAGAAGCTAAACACATGTATAAGTGTATACTGAATAAATGTTAATAGAATAAATACAAGTAAACACGCAATAGTTAAATACAAAGTAGGGAGGTAGAGCACTAACAGTTTTTTTGTTTTCTTTGATGGGGGGATCAGGAAAGGGGATGATACTTGAACTTGCATTTTAAAAGGAGAGAGGAATTCTATGAGGAGGGGGTAAATAAGTACATTCCTTAGCTTGAAGATGGTCAGTGCAAAGGCATGGAGATGAGAGATGGAGTGCTATTTGTGAATAACAGAGAGAAGGCTAGATTGACTGAATTGTATAATACAAGAAGGGTAATAGTATATGATAGTATATGATAAACTTGCAAGGATAGGTTGAATAGAGATTGTGAAAAGCTTTAAAAGCTAAACTGAGGGGGCAGCTAGGTGGTGCAGTGAATAGAGCATTGCTCCTGGAGTCAGGAGGACCTGAGTTCAAATCTGGCCTCAGACACTTGGTAGCTATATGACCCTTGGCAGCTGTATGACCCTTGGCAAGTCACTTAAGTCCGATTGTCTCCAAATTAAAATAAATAAATAAATGAATAAAAGCAAAGCCAAGGAATTCATATTTTAATCTAGATGCGATGGGAAGTCACTGGAATTTATTGAACAGGTGAGTGACATTGCCAGATCTTACCAAAAGGAATATTGCTTTGGCAGCTACATATAGTAAGAGTGGGAAAAGATTTGGGGTAGATTTGGGGTAGATTTGAGGTAGAGTGACCAATTAGGAGACCATTGCAATAATCTAGGCAAGAAGTAATAAAGATCTGAACTATAGTAGTAGTTGTGTGAATGAAGAGAATGAATGAGATAGAGATGTTGTGGAGATAGAAATGCTAATTTTTAATAGTTGATTAGATATATGGAATGAGGTAGAGTGAAGGTAGACATTAATGGTCATCTTATGAACCTGAGGCTAGAAGAATGTTGGTACCTTTGACAGAAGTAGGGAAGTTTGGAAGAGATGTACGTTTTGAAGAGAAAATGATAAATTCTTTTATGGATATGTTGAGTTTTAGATGTCTTCAAGGCATGAATTTTGGAATATCCAGTAGTTGGTGATGTGGGACTGGAGGATAGAGGAGAGACAAGGTCTATAAATATAGATTAAGTCATCTGGATAGAGATGATGGATTAACCCATGATAGTTGATGAAGTCACCAAAAAAGAAGGTGTTAAGAAAAAAAAGAAAAGCCTGATGACAGGCCATGGAGAACACCCACATATAGAGGAAGTGATACAGATTATGACCCAGCAAAGAAGATTAAGGAGCAGTCAGGTAGAAAGAGAATCAGGATAGAGCAATGTCATGAAACTCAGGGAGGAGATAGTGTTCAGGTGGAGAGGGTGTCAGTAGTGTCAAGTGTAGCAGGATGAGGAGTGAGAAAAGACCATGAGTTTCATTAAGAGACCACTGATAACTTTAGAGAGAGCAATTTCAGTTGAGGAATGAAGCCAAATTACAAAGGGTTGAGGAGTAAAGAGTGGAAGTTTGGAAGCAACAAGTGTAGCTAATTATTTCTAGTAATTTGACTGAGAAAGGGAGGAGGAACCTAGAACTATAGTTTGAGGGGATGATAGGGTCTAGTGAAGGACTTTTCAGGAAAGGGGTGGGGAGGCTTGGGCATAGAAGGAACCAGAGTTTGAAGATTAGAGAGAAGAAAAATCAAGGGGTCAATTTGATGAACAGCATGAGAGGAAATGAAACCAAGGGCATATGTAGAAGTTGGCTTTGGCAAGAAAAAGGAACAACTCTATGGGAGAGGACAGAAGGAAAGAGAGTGGGGGATGATGTGAAGATTTTGAGATGGAGAGGGAAGATGAGGGAGTTCATGGTGAATGACCTCAATTTTTTCTGTAAAATAAGAAGTGCGCACCTGTGCTGAATGGGGAACAGTAAGGGAAAAGGCATAAAGCTTGAGGAGAGAAAAGATTTAGAATAGCCTCTGTGGGGAGTGAGCTAGGGAATCAATTACAGAGGAATGAAAGAATTGCTATGTTGCAATAAGGGTCCCGTTAAAGTTGGATGACATAAATTTGTTGTGTACCCTATCAGCACGATTGTGTGACTTCCACCAATTCCGTCCAACAGAGTATATATAAGAACACAGTAGACAAATTGTGGGGGAAGGCATGAGTGTTGACAGAATGAAATGACAAGGGATTTGAATAGTAGACATGTGGAGTTGATTGAATTGGTTACATATAAATTGAGATTGGGAAAGGAGGAAGTGAAATCAGAGCTTTTGGTAATTGTCTAAGAAAATACTAAGGAGTAGAAGGATTGGAGGTTTCCAAAGAGATTTTTTAAAAAAAAGGAAAGGAAAAGGACCTATTTGTACAAAAAATGCTTATAGCAGCTCTTTTTGTGGTAGCACAGAACTGGAAATGGAGGGGATGCCCATCAATGACTAATAGCTGAACAAGAGGTGGTATATGAT